TGCTATTTCTGTGCATTAAATGATAATTAATGCTAATAATAAAGGAAATTAAGTCATGGTTAGCCATTCATATTTTTTTGTTGGGTAATATTTTGAAATTAATTTTGATGACACTTGTTTACGCTTCATATCTCATGGCTTTTTCCTGCACATGAATTGCCGTTGTGAATCGTATGAGAAAGTCCTAAATATTTTTTTACTATATTAAAAGCAATTATTAGATTATGTAATTTAATTATAAGATGTCACATTAATCAAATGAGACAAAAGTATATATATATATATATAAAAAAATTTCTAACATTAAAGTTTCAAATAGTTCCATACACTCAGAAAAATAATCTCTCTATCTAGATTATTAATTAAATTTTTAGCGTTTGTAACAAAAAGGCAATGTTTTCTCAGCAAAAAGCAAAACTTTTTCAAGTGAATGCATTTTTGGTATTTCCATGTTATTTAATCCCTAGGGCAGGGATGGCGAACCAGTGCCACTTGTGGCACGCGACACAATATTTTGGGCACGACACCGATCACAAAGTTTACAATGAAGCATATTAACAATTCAATTAAAATTCATAAAAAAAGAACAATGTCAAAAAAGCAATTAATAACCACAAAAAAACAAGCGAACAATAAATAACTAGCAAAAAAAATTAACAGTTCTGCTTAAACTAACATCTTATAACTCTAATATAAGTTATTTGTCATCTAATCTGCAACAACAGAAGTCACACTGATGTTACTTTAAGTTGAATTACGCGTATAACTGAAACATTGCAAAAGTTGAGAATTACGTTTTTTCGTAGTAAATAAAGAGTTTTGAGTTGATAAAATTTAGTATTATTATTTACCCAATAATCACGAAGTCAAAACTATTTGTCGGCACGTCTATGATCTCATTAAAATATATTTAGAAAAAATGGCACGTTGGTGCATGAAGGTTCGCCACCCCACCCCTGCCCTAGGGATTTTTTTTTTTGTCTTGACGTTAGAACTTAAAATTAATATTTTTTTACTATCGGATTAATATGCTTCATAAGACTGTGCTTTGAAAATTAATAAAAAGTTTTACAGTATGTTGTATTCATGCATTAAATATTTTTTCTATTGTGCACATAATTAACCATAAAAATGCTCTGATTCAAAAAAATAAATACTATTTTAAAGTTTTACTATCTTAAGGGTAAAATTTGCCGAATCATTTTGTCTCGTTTTTATATTATGTGCGTAGTTTATTTGTAAAAAAATTATTTTAACTTGGAAACTAAATGTTTATCGTACGGCTCTGAAAGAACTCTTTATCTTTATGATAGAGGTTCTGAAAGAACTCTCTATCTTTATTATTTTATGAGTTATTAAACATCAAAATGGGTCTGGGACTTTATAAACCTGTATTTGAACTATTTGTTACAGTTCTTTATTATATTTGGAGATGCAAATAGTTTGGCTGCTAAATATATTTAAAATACTAAATTTAATACAACATAATATTTTAGATTGAAATATTGCTTTATTCTTTGGCAGTTAGATTTTTTTTTAAACTTTTTAGCTCATTTTTTTTTTTACTGATTAAACTGATAATCAGTGTATGGAATGCAGGTTATAGGTGACATGGTTATGATCAATAATAGTCTTTTATAATCATGCAATATCAATTGAGATTATTAACGTAACAGTATTGTACGTTATAATACGTGTACCGCCATTGCCCGGTATTCTCTACACTGTTATTTTTCATAATATCCGTAATCGGGTGTTGTTGTAATAGTAACTATCTATTTTTAATTATGACCAAGTTAGGAAAAAGTGAATTTGGTGTTTCATAATAAATAATAAAAAAGTGATTTGCGGAATAAAGAAAATGTCATTCTTTTGTTTTCAAGTGCGTGACGATTTTTAAAAAAAAAGAATGCTTGCTTATGAGCTAATTATGGTTATCTTATTACCCCTCATTTGAAACGGGACAAAATAATGATCCTTCACCACTCACACCGCTTGAAATATGACAATTATTCATTACCGCCTGCAGTGAGAAAACCGCAAACGTCATTAAACCCTTAATTTTATCATATTTTTATGAGTCCAAGCAATTCTGCGTTGAATTAACTATTCAAATACTAAAAATAGAGATGCCCTAGCCAGAGGCTGAACTACATCCTTGGGAGCGATAAATAAATCAATCAATTTTCGTAATTTTGTGGTTGTGAATGGCAATTAAAAACGGTTTGCACTCTTCCTATTGGATAATGCGTATTCCTCTCCCAATTAAATCTTTTTCCTGAATGATCAATTATGCCAATGGACAGGTAATTAAATGGACGTCAGTTTAGACATTTCTTTTCAAAACTTCAGCTTTTCTTGAAATTCTTTGCCACAAAATTTCCACCCTTAGTTTAGAGCATACTGTGAAAAGAGGAAGAAACATTTTTTTTCCCTCGTGGGACTGTGAAAGTTATTGGCCACGAGATCGACAAGTCAATAGTAAGCGTAATCTTATCCTCGTCCCACAGTGGACTGATGTTTAGGACACGGTTCCCAGCTGATCACCGAAGTCAAGCATCACTAGCTGCGGTCAGCGTGCGGGTAAGTGACCACTTGGATCAATCTGCGTAGGGACCGAGGATGTATTGTTAAACTGTGCTACCGTAAAGTGCTCGACTTCGCATGGAAGTCTTCGGGTTACCAAAGCGGGGGTACCACCCCCTCTGCAGAGGATCAAAATTCTTCGGATCATCCTCAGGGATGTTTCCCAGACCATCGCCTATAGCCCATTGTGCAGCTCTTGTGCGACATAGATGAACTGCAGCAAATAATCTTATCCTCAACTTTTATAAAAAATTTGCTCGAGAATGATCATGTGAGACAGCGTAATGAGATACTTGCAAGTGACGTAGTGTGGGTATATCGATCTAATTGGTTGCTGAAACGTGGCATTTGTCTACGTCAGCAACTGTTATTTCCATTCTATTTCGAATCAGCTCAATTCCCTTTAATGATACATTTTTAATTCTTTCAGAAAGTTTTAAATTCTTTCACTTTATATTTCTTAACACCAAGACAGGCACGAAGCCACATAGGGTACTGGGCCTATGTCCAAAAGGTCGTAGGTTCGATCCCCACCGGCCGACGTAGTAAATGGTGACTGATGCAAGTTAAATCTGTCGAATCACAAAGTCCTCCATTTACCCATAACAAATCATGCTAATGAGGGCACTGATCTGGAAGTTTTCTGGTCTTCTGGATTGGCTCAAAATTACAAGGCTATGGAGTTGAATATTAGTAGTCGTAAGGTCATAGGTCACATGTGTGGGTATCTCTGATCTTCTTCTTGAAGTGCAAGTACTCAATCGTCGAAAATAACAACTGTTTCTCTCCTATAGGAAACTCGGAATCGCGTAAGAGACATTACCTTTGAAGTTGAGGATAGAGTAGACCTGAATATTTAAATTTTCAGTTAGTAGCCAGTGGCCGGTAGACTCTAATAATTTATAAGCCACTTTTTCTGTAACCTAATAGGTTGGTAACCAACACCGATAAATCCTATTAATCTAATAGCCACTTTATGCTTTTTATTTTTTGCTTAGATTAACCCTTTGTTTGTATTCCAAGTACTTTCAAATGCTGTTTGGGCAGACATAAGCTTTAAATTATTTAAAACGCATAATACAATATATTTTTTAAAATTCTTGAAATAATTAATGACTTATAAGGTATAAAAATTCTCAAATTTTGAGTTGTGACTGTTGACTGCGCCTGGCGACATTGGAGTGTAAAGGGTTTTCTCAATTTTTTTTTTCTAAGAAAAAAAAAATCATATTAGAAATAATCTACGGTTATAAAAAAGTTAATTCAATAATAAAAATTAGATAAATGTGTGACAAAATTTTGTTTAACATACTGGTTTGACTTCGCCGTGCAAGAAAATTCAATGCGGAATACAACTATTAAAAAAAACAAAACTTGCTAGCATAATTTTGGTTCATAAAAGAATTCTAGATTATACACCCCTTAGCTTGTAATTTCGTGCCGAGTTTCTTCTTTGAGATATTCTTGGTTATAATTAGGGGCTTCAAATTTTTAGACTTTGAATATGAAGATAATTTTTATCCGTCAACTCCCTTTTTCAAGACTTAACGACTCAAAGAGAAAAAAATACTTGAATTATCCGTTGATAGCATGGAGCTTGAAATTGCTGAAGTCTCATTTTGTTTGGAAAATCAGCTTTATTGTGTTTTCATCTTGGACATCTTTAACTGTTAATCCTAACTGTTCAGTACACAATTTTGAATGATGAAATTATCATTTATTCACAACTGAAGAAGTATTTATGGGACCTCTCTGATCCCATATCTCAAAAATAAACTCTCCAACTTAATGCGTAGCAAAATTAAAAGTGAAAAAAAGAATTCTAAAAAAATTATCAAACAACAGCGGACGCCATAGCAACGCATGCAATGACGACACATGTGCACTGTTTACTATTACTCTTGAGTCCATGTGCACTGTTTACTATTACTCTTGAAAAATGTGATGACGTTCAAATAAGGTGCGCATGCTATTAAACCCAAAACAACACCCATTTTGCTAATGGGTAAAAAGATGGGGGGGGGGATGACTTGTTGCTTATTTAATTCGTGTCGCCATTTTTTTCGTTGACCAGCCACTTGGCGAGTGGTTACTAGGATAGAGTGAAAATCGAGCTTATCGTTACTTATATTTTTCTCGTACGTGATAACCGTATGGCAGTCATGATTAACTGTTAAAAACTCGCAACAGTTATATTCGCAATTGTCATATAAAATACGCTACAAAGCGTTATTTTATAAAACTAAAAACTTACAAAGAACAACCTTAAATGTCTTGGTAAATTAAAGCAAATCATCTTTAGCAGTCGCTTTGCATTTCAATAATTTCTAAAAGCATATTGGCAACTCAAAATTGGCCATGAATCAATAAACATCTAATCGTCAAGCAAGAATAATTATTAATAAAATAGATACATGTTTCGCAATAAGTTACAGACTGGTCTCATCACACTTCTCAGCGGCAATGGCTTGAATCCACTGGCGATATGGGGTAAAAAGGGCAAAGGCTACATAAAGCGAATTACGGACGATGAATTACAGGCTTTGGTCGTCGAGATTACTGCTGTCCAATTTGTCACTACCTACGTTTCCTTGCCCCGACAACCACGGTCATCTATTGGAGTTAGACTTCCATATCTAACTCTTATCATCAAATATTTGAAATTGCCCTTCTGCTTTGAGTTTGCAGTGCTGGACAGTAGAATGGTGAAAAGACGCTTCAGAGCCAGCAATTGCCAATCCAAGGTATCGGTCACTCCATTACTGTGTCACATGCCTTTGGCTTTAGATGACGGGTGGAACAAGATACAGATAAATTTAGCAACTTTCACGAAGCAGGCGTATGATAGCCAATTCATAGAATTTGTTTCAATTGAGATCTATGCCAACTGTCGAGTGCGACTTATATATTTTTCCGATAGAATTTATTCAGACGAAGAATTACCGCTGAGTTACAAGGCGTGTAAAAGACCTGGTAAAAGTCACACAGCAAAAGGACAACGGACTTAGGTACAGTGAAAAAGAAAACTTCAAAGAAATCAATTTGTAATATGATTTTAACTTTCGAATCAAAGTAGTTCAAGTCGATTTAAAAGATTGTCTTGCTTGTGTGCAGATTGTTTGTATTATTTAAAAAGTGGAAAATATGCACCAATCAAAATGTCTGACTAAAATCTTCAAGTAGATGTTTCGACTTATTATCTTAATTTGTTTATAAAACAACTGTATTTGATTGAATTCGCGCAATAAAGTCATGCTTTTGATTAATAGTTTGAAAATTTTTATGTTTAACTATTTACAGTTGGATGCAGTTGTTCATGTTAAAATCATTTATCGAATTAGAATAGTTCTGCATTTTTTATTTAAAATTTACATAGTTCTGTCTGTAAGAAAATAATAGCTACATGAAAGACAATCTTAGCGTTCATTCTGGTTTTAGTGTTGTTATCCGAATATATAATTCTAGTAATCTTATTATAATACTAATCTTATCTTATTATATCCAACTAATTATATTAATCTTATTATGCATAATTGGTATGGGGCAGCCCTGGCCTTGCCTGGGCTGTAGTGCCCAAGAAGAGAGAGATAGAGAATAAAATGATGATAATGCGGATTTTAGGAGGGAAAAAAAAAGATAAATTTATAATTATTCGGTATATACCGTATTTTATACGAAGATTTGACCCTTTCAATGAAGAAAAAAAGATAACCAAAATCGTTAGGTACATTTTAAATATAAAATAGCCAAAATTAAAAAATTTCAAAATAATAAGATGTCAGCAATTTGGTACATTAAGGTAAAATGCAAACGTTTGGCAGCATTACCTTGATTTTAAACGGAATAATATTTAAAAATTTCCTCTCCCTAACATAACAGCTTCGTTTGTTTAAAATATTCCAACACTTATAATTGCTATGTATTAACAGTTACTTTATTTTAAGCAGAATCTCCTTGTCGAAATGTTTATTTACATCATTTTACATAGTTTTGGAAAAATGCATTCGATTTTTTACGTATATATTTTCCTGAGCTAAATATATAAATGGAATCCTTTGGCGATATAATAATGAAAAAATAAGCTTCAAAACTATTTAAGCAAATTCGAGTATATTGTAAAATACATTGAAAAAAATAGGAAGTTATTTATATCATTTTTCACAGCCATGAGTTAATCATTTTTCCAAATTATTTAATCTATACAGCCGATAACAGCATGCTTTTAAACTTAAAAATTTAATATTTTAATTACTTTCACACGTTCTTCCACTTAATGCTTCAATTGTATTCTAAATTTCAAACATTCCGCCAAAAATCGGGATATACATAATTAATCAAACTTTTATGCAAAGATAGTTTTTTATTTGGTATAAATACCGTTCTATGTAATCTAACCACATCAAGTACTTTAGAGTATCTACCAGCCCCGTCGCTGGGATTCGAACCCAGCTCACCTTGTTGGGAGGTCGGCGCTCTATAATCTGAGCTGCAACGACTCTTCTTTAACAAATTTCGAATCGCGTGAATCGTGAGAGAGGTTTATAATAGGACTGTAACAATTTTAAAAAATATTTTAATATTCTGAGTGACTTTTTGAGAGCAGAAAGCTAGAATCTATACGCGAATCAGTCGGAACGAAACAAAACAGTTTTAGCAAATTTAATGAGATTTGAAATTCTTTTGATGCGATTTATTTTTCTTATTCCAAGGAAGAAAAAAGTGTTAAGAAAAACATGTAAGCGACGAGTCTTCTGTTTAGTCAAGTAGTGATATAGTAAGTATTGTTATGTGATTTGACCTGGTGCCCTCTATGTTGAATGCTTGAATTAAACCAATTTCTCCATTTATATGAGCTGAAGAAAGAAAGTTGGCCATTAGATCCCAAAAAGAAGCAGTCTTAAAATCAAACTTTAACTTTGAAGCACGTAGCATTATGTTCCCGTAACATTTTATAGGTTTATAATACTCCTATACTGTACTTGTATGATAACACTTCAACAATTTATTATCATATTTCTTAATATGCTATTAAATTATTGTTTTGGGCAGCACATGATCAACTTATTCACCTAATTAAATTTACTCATTTTTTTTAGGGTGGTACGATTTAGGGAGCAGTGGTACGAATTAGGCAATAAGTTTCCCAAATCATACCTTTGCAGACCTTGCGAAAAAATTGATTTTCAGTAATTTGCAAATTATTATTACCAAAAAATAATATTAGTTAAATGATTGGATTTTATTGTTGAAATATTTCAAATGTAATTGTCTGCAATTGCAAATGCAATGTAATTGCAAAAATTTAACGATGAGAAGTGGTATGATTTAGGCAACTTTCTTCTATCGTTCTTTACAATTTTTAATTCGCCTTAAGAACGTTTGGCAACGTTGTGCAGTAGAGACACTTTTGATAAACGATTTTTCTCACTTTTTTTATTAGTTTAGAGAAAGCGAATTTAAGCGATAAAAGCGAATTTTCTCAATTTTTTGTTGTTATCGATGCGATTTTATCAGATCGCTTTTTTTAGACTTGTTTAAATCTCAAACGACCTTTATTTCCATTTGCGGCGCATTTGATAAATTAAGTAATTGTTTGAACTAAATTTGATGAATATAAATTTTTTTTTCTTATAGAAAACATTTTGGGGAGACAATGTCCCCCTTCCATCCCAACGCCCCTGTTGATGTGTTTTTATTGAGGGTAAAAAAGGCTACACTTCCTTGAGAAAACGATAGAAAAAATCAAAAATCATAGAATTGGAATCTTTTTTCGTAATGAACAATTTTAACCCTCTGTTTACGGTGTACCATGCTGTACCACCACATGTGGTCATCATGCTGTACCAGCCGTAAGCAAAATTAAGCTTGATCTTCTTAAAAAATTGAAATATAACAACAACAAACTGTCAGGGCCCGACTTAGCCTAATTGGGGCGTGGGGCAAAATCTTCTTTGGGGGCCCCCTCTGCTTTACTTCTTCAATAAAAAAGAACCGAACTTTATGAAGGTTTTTAAATTTTTTACCTCATTATAGATAACAAGAAAATTGACTAGAACCTAAAATAGCTATGAAGTCCCACCCCCTCCAATGATCAGACGAAATAATGTTTTGTCCATTTTATTGATTTTCTGATAATTTTATGTCCATCATGTATGTCGAATGCAGATTTCTGGTTGTTAACTTTGTTATCTAGCTGAGAAAAAATTCATATCCTTGCTGACAATAGGGTGGAATTCAGCTGAATTTACGCAACTAAGATGGTTCAATTAAGTCAATCAGTAGCCTGTATTTTTGTAAACATATGGCATTTTGCAATATGTAAAAATACAGGCTTTTGATTGGCTAAGTTTGTCTATCGTAATTGCGAAAATTTAGCTGAATTCCGCCGTAGAAAGCCATGGATTTACGAAATATAGACTGTATTCACATGATGCAGATTTTACACTGTACTTATATTTTATTTAAAAAAAAGTTCATTGAAGAAGGAAACGTAAAATAAACTCTCTGCTCAATTTGGGGCCCCCTCTGATGTGGGGGCCCGGGGCAACTGCCCCATATGCCCCTTCCAGTCAGGCTCTGCAAAGCGTTCAACAGCAATATTTTGAAAATTGCATAAAATTTGAAAGGCAATTACTAAGTTTTTATTATATTGCTTTCTGTGTTTGTAATGATAGAATCTTGCGACCAATTTCATACAAGCTAGAGCATTTTAATTTTAAATGGAACTCTGTCCTGGACGACAATGCAAATTTAAATTGCTTCATGATCGCTACAAGTAGAATTTATAACAGAATTAAAGCCCCAAGGAATTTATCGCTAATAAAATTTCAGACCCTTTTTCATATGGATGGCGTTTTCTACACTAGGGTGCGCTGCAAGCTCTTTACTGTCTATACTTCCGGGTTACTGTTTCCGGTGTATTTTGAAGCCATTTGGTTCACAACGTGATCATTGTTTTTTGAGACTCTTTTGAATAGAGTTTCTTTTATACGTGTATTTGTTATCTGATTTATTATTTGAGTTTAAAAAAAAGAATCGTCATTTGGAGACCTGTCTTTTCAAGACGCTAAAAATCGTGATTAAAAAAAGAAAATTGTTATAAAACACTTCTTAGCTTGTCAACAATATACTAATTTCGAAATTTAAACCTAAATAATAATTTGTAAAGTAAACTTAATCTCGCTGCTCGAACAATATGCTAACTCTAACGTGTGATGGTGCACGACTTGCAACAAGAACAGTAATAAACAAGTAAAAAGAGGCCAAATGGGGACTGCCAAAAAAAGCGAATTCTTTCTAAATCTGACAACCACGTCATCTTTTTTAAAAAATGCATCTATAAATAGCTAAAACAAATTTTAACTTTTAACTCATCAGAAATTCTTAATACGTCAATTACATAATATCTTATGAAATACTGCATATTTGAGCTCTGAAATTATAAAATTTATTTCTTTTATTAAAAACAAAATTATCTGTTTGAAAATATCGCCGCCTAGCAGAATAAGCTGTAGTAAGCAGTTGTATACTTTCTAACCGGAAGTAAAGCAGGTCAAAAGCTCGAGATTTGTTGTTCATATTTATACTGAAAACACCATCCACACATAACTTGAGCAGCTCTGAATTCTAGATATGTGCTAGATGACTAAACGAGTTCAAATCATTTTGTATTCACCAAATTTATCGTGATATATTGGTTAAAATTAATTTATCGTTGTGGTGTGGCTAAATCAAAAAGGGGGG